AGGTTAATATCATCGATCAACACAGCTCTCTTTGTTTAGATTGAAATTATTCTTCATGGGAAGGTATTGCCAGTTGAGCGGCAGTCAGGGCCACAGGTTCACCAATCCATACTTCTTGCCTGCCTGTCAGGATGAAATACTAATGGCAAGAACCATCAATCCTCCTGCTGCCTCCTTGTTTTTTATAACCGAGGTCACTTTGCTTTGAATTTATATTTGCCATGCAAATTGAAATAAAACTACAAAAATAATTTTTAACATGTCTGTTCTGATAGTGTCTTATTTTTCAACATTTTGAATTGATGAAGAGGGAGTATTGGAAACATGTAAGGTGATAGAAAAGACATTTGTTTGCTAGGGGAAAATACTCATCTGCCTTGGGAAGCACATATTCAATCAGCCTAACTAATAAGCAGTCATTTGTTTTTTGGGCATCCAGTTTATTAGATTAATGGCCTCTTTGAGTATTAGAACACATGGGGGAGAAGCCAATGTCTGGTTTATCAGAGCATTAATTCAGGACAGTATTTGGAAACAGTCTTTCTCCTTTCTAAGAAAGGAAGACACAATGCTTAAATAAATCAATAGTTTTCTGAAACAATAAATCTTAGTTTTTGAAACATAGTGATATAAGATAGGACACTTCTGCCACAAAATATATTAATTATTGTGGATAGGAGCCCTGGAATGATCTTGCTTATCAACTCATGATCTTTCATGATGTTTCCTGGAGTATGTCATATGTCCTGTGGGTCTAAATTGTCTTGAATTTAAAAAACAAGGAGACTTGCTTTTAACTTACGTTATTTCTTCATTGCTGTGGGAGAGAGCTTTACTCTCAGAAATGACTGGCTCTTGATAGGGAGGATCCTCAGAAGGACTGGTAACTCGCTAAGCCAGTGGTTCTCAACCTTCCTCATGGCACAACCCTTTAGTGCAGTTCCTCATGTGGTGGTGACCCCCAACCATAAAATTATTTTCGTTGCTACTTCATAACTCTAGTTTTGCTACTGTTATGAATTGGGCGACTCCTGTGAAAGGGGTTGCAACCTACAGGCTGAGAACCGCTGTAAGCAGTACTAGGAAGGGAAATTAACCACTACTTTATACCTGCTTCACTTTGAAGATATCACATGGCATGCTCACTGCTATGGTTTGTTTTGTTTTGTTTTCCCCTGAGAAGATGAACGTTTACTGGATAACTGAATGAAATGAGGACAATATCCAGAATCTGGGGAGCATGAGTTCCAAGCAAGGGGAAAGCAAATAGAAAGCCCGTCAGCAGAAACTAACTTGATGTGTGGAAAGCAACTCAAAGGTCACACTGCTGGCGTGAAATAAGTGATTCAGAGAGTAGAAGGTGAAATGGAAGGTGGTCTGTCTGATTGGGAGCCAGTGAGTAAGGGAATAGTATAATCAGATATATCTTTTTATTTGATAATAAGGGCCTGCTTATTATCAGTGAGGGCCATTAGAGTTCCACAATACTTCAGGGGAAAGATGATGGTAGCTTTGAACAGAGTTATATGAGTAGGCATCGAAAAGCTGTACAAAGTCAGGAGAATTTCAATATGCATTTGGATTGAATATAAAGAGTGAGAAAAAGAGAGAAATCAAGGATGGTTCATTGTTTTCATCCTGCATATTTTAGTATCCAAAATCGTTACTTACAATCATGGAGAAAGAAGAGAACTGTAGTGTGGAGACGATGAATTCAATATTGTTCATGCTCAATTTGACATACATATTAGACTCCAAGACAAAATTTTGGTTTATTGTTAGATTAAGTGCTGGGAGCTCAGAGAGGTGAGCAATTGGAATCTACAATGAACTAAAGCCAAGCTCACTACCGTCTTGATGCTGACTCATAGGGGCCCTGAGGACTTCCTGAGATGGCAGCTCTGCAGGAGCAGAGCGCCTGGTTTTCCTCCCACTGCGCACCTGGCAGTTTCCAGCTGCTGACCGGGTGGACTGCCGTCCAGTGAGGAGCCATTGTGCCGCTAGGCTCCTTTTGTCCTGTTAGCTAACAGTTAGAGGTTCCTGGCAGTAGGACAGAATATATTTGATGGGTCATCTCTTTAGTCTACCCTCATGCCCTTAAGATTTGAATGGAGTGTGAAAAGTATGACAAATTAATCTTAGGTTTCATTTTATAATTCCAGGAATACAGACCTAGTCGTTTGCAGGAAAAACAGTTTTATAAATAGGGAAAGTAAACAGATAATAGATTTCTAGACGGTAGAGATTAATAAACATTTTCATTCATTTTCATGGGATTCAGCCTTCTTCAGAAACATTCTCTCAAATTTTTAGCACTAGAAGTTGGGTAATCAAGGAAAGAACTATGAATAACATGTGAAGTTACACTCACTGGAGGATCCCTAAGGTTTTTTTTAAGCATGCAAATGCAGACATCTGAGATTTATAGAAAGTAATCTGGGGGTTGTCTGATTTTCTTCCAATATTTTTCCCCTTGTTAAATGTTACTTCATCAGTCAAGCCTTTTTTTGTGTCCATCAAAATACTGGTCCCAGCCAAGGTTGAATGGTCACAAAATAAGGACTGCAATGATTTGATATTGGAGCAGAATGCATGACGTCTCTTTCTGAGCTATATAGCTGGTGAATTCGAGAGAGAAGAGTTCTGATTCCAAGCATTCGGGTTCTGGTGCCTTTGGGAGCAGTCTAAATAAATTCAGAAGACATTGGGAATGTGCTGAGCTAATTAACTCCAAAATACTTAGAGCTAGAGGTAGCATGGCATCAAGAGAACAGAAGTTTAGTCTTAGCTCTGCCACATTCTGCTCTACTGTCCCATCTGTCACATGACAAAGATTATGTGCCTCACTTACCTTATGTGTTGGGATAGTAGTAGGTGGGTTAAAGGAGGACTTAAGAAAGCGTGATCCCTTGATATGTTTGAGTCCTCGTGGCTGTGTGTAAATCCATTTCATTGAGGGCTTACCTCATTTTCACTGACTATCCCAAACATTATGCCCATTCTTAACAATTCGTCTTTTTGGTGATGTACACAAAGAACCTGAACTTAAGTCCCTCCATCCTTGTAAAGACTCCTAAAGATGTAAGGACGTCCTAGATTATGTGCAAGGTCAAATCGCCGGATGGGCTGAAGCGAATGACATAAACAGTCTTGATTTTAATGGTGTTATAATTGTTTATTACAGATAAAAGTCATAAAGATTTCCAAGATAAGCTGTAAAACAATTTCTAGATGATCCTGTTTTCTAAATGCTTTTTCTGACCTAAAGACCTAGAAATCCAGAACACGTAAGCTTAGTTTCTCTTCAGCATCATCCGATATTGCCTTTGTGACATTGGCAATATCGCTAACGTCTCGTAGCACGTTCGGTGTGCCCGTCAGGTTTGGAGCTGGGTGTTGTAGCGGTTTACTCACTGAGCTGCTAATCAGAAGGGCAGCAGTTAAAACCCACCAGATGCTGCCTAGAGAAAGAGGCCTCTATTCCCCTGAATAGACCCCTAGGGGAAATTCTAGTCTGTCCTATAGTCCCTCCATAAAATTGACTCTCTGCCAGTGAGTTTGGGGTGAAATGCCTAGCACTGTGACAGGCATTCTCAGAGCAGTCCTCTATCATACATGTGTATTATCCCCATTTTGTAGGTGAAAGAATTAAGCCTTAGAGAAGTTAAGTTAGTCAATTAAGTTAATAAATACATGGTTACCATATCTACATTCCTAGCTGAGGGTGTGTAAAACTTCAAAGCTCAGTCTTACAGGAAGAATGCAGTAAAGGAATGTTGGATTAGCAAACTTCAAATGCCTTATTTAGAGACAGTGAGCGTAGTAGCTCTCAGCTTTCCTGTCGGCAAAGCTCACCAGCTAAACTCATCACTGCATTAGGGCTTTTGTTCTTGCTGTCCTCTGTCTAGAATTCTGTTACCCTGCAATCCTTGCTATTGTGGTCTCAAATGAAGTGTTTACTGTTGTTGTGAGGTGCCCTGGAGTCCACAGCGACCCTCTAAGCAATAGAAGGAAACCCAACCCGGTCCTGTGCCATGCTCACAACCGTTCTTACGCCCGAGGCCGTTGTTAGAGCCTCATGTGAACGAGCTAGCTTGTCCAGGGCCTTCCTCGTTTTCTCTTTGAGGTTCCACTTATTTATTTATTTTTAATTAAAAACTTTTACTGGGGGCTATTACATCTCTTATCACAATCCATCCGATCATCCATTGTGTCAAGCACATTTGTACATAAGCTGCCATCATCATTTTCAAACATTTTCTTTCTACTTGAGCCCTTAATATCAGCTCCTCATTTCCCCCTCCCTCCCCCACCCGCCCTCCCTCATGAACCCTTGATAAGTTATAGATTATTATTTTCATATCTCACATCATCCTCTATCACCCTTCACCCACTTTTCTATTGTTTGTCCCCCTGGGAGGGGGTTATATGTCGATCCTTGTGATCAATTCCCTTTATCCCCCCCACCTTCCCCTTGTCCTCCTGGTATCTCTATTCTCATTGTTGGGACTGAGGGGTTTATTGATCTTGGATTCCCTGTGTTGTGGGCTCTTATCTGTAGCAGTGTGCATGTTCAGGTATCAGGCATCTAAGACCCAGAACAAAATCATACCCAATGTGGACGGCAGTGGGGTGGTGGGGAAGGCGTGGAGTGGAGATCCAAAACCCATCTGTAGACAATTAGACATCTCCTCACAGAAGCATCACAAGGAAGAGGTGAGCCAGTCAGGGTGCAGTGTAGCACCGATGAAGCACACAACTTTCCTCTAGTTTCCTCACTGCTTCCTTCACCTTATGATCATGACCTCAATCCTCTTTTTCACTGTCCCTCTACTTTACCAAGCATGACGTCCCTTCCCAGGCCCTCATCTTTCTTGATAACGTATCCAATGTGTGTGAGACAAAGTCTCACTGTATTTGTTTCCGAGGAACATCCTTACTGTATTTCTTCCAAGATAAACCTCTCGGAAGCTTAACTGTTACTTCCTTTTTTTTTTCCCTTTAAAAAATGTTTATACTACCACAAATTATGCAGTCAAGTTTCCCACATTTGGGGAAATTGCAGTGGCCAGCATATCCGGGGTGCAATGGATAAGCAATGGTTTCCTTGCCCTGGGAAAACCACCTTCATGGTCGTGGTATTTCCCCTGCCAGGTAAGTATTAAATGTTTCTTCTTTAATGAAGCTTTTTTTGACTATACAATCTACTTACTAAGTCACTCCATATTTTATAACACTCTTTTAAGTTTTTGACATGGCACAGTTTACTGTGATTTTGCTCTTATACATGTTTGTTTGTTTCTTCATGAAGGCAAGATTTTGATTTCTTTTCCTTGATCAAATTATATACTTAATTCCTAGATTAAGTGTACACAGCACAAAGTAGACCCATGATAAATCCTTGTTAATTAAAGCCTGAACAAACTCCCTTGTGTAATAGGCGAAGGAACTGTATCTCAGAGATGACATTGGACTCACCCAAGGTGAGGTGCAGGCTGGTGGGAAGAATGGTAACCTAGTGACTAGTCCTAACGCTGGGCCTAATTTTTTCTATGACTTTGGATCAGTTCTGAGTTACGGATAACATTTCAGCGGATATTGATTGCATCCCTCACCCATGGCATGCGTCGTACAGTTTTTATATACATTTTATGTAATGTTTCCCAAAATTTTGTGAGTAGATAATTAAAGAAGTCTATGTTAGTTATAATGGCTGCTATAATAATAGTAATAAAATTAAATTCCAGTGATTTAACAAAACAAATGCTGTTTACACACATTGGAGATTGATTTGAAAAGCTATCTGTAGATGGCTTTTCCTCAAGTGATAATTCAAGTATCTGGTAATCTTCAGTTTTAGGGTGCTGCCCTCCTCAGCTCTTGTCACTGGAGGATGGGAAGACCATAAATGGTTACATATGGGATTTTATGTCCAGGTCAGAAAGCAGCATACATTGTGTCTGTCCCTATATCTTTGGTCAGTAGCCAGTCACAGAAAACTCCAAACTTGCTGCCATCGAGCCAATGCTGACTCATAGCAACCCGCTGTGTGTTTCTGAGCCTGTGGCCATTCCCAGGCGTAGAAAGCCCAGTCTTTCTCCTACAGACAGCTGACCGTGCAGATCGCAACCTACTGTTTACCACGACACCACCATAGCAAGGTCTACTGAGATGCAGTCTTGAACAAGAAGAAAGATGTATCGGTCACCAGCTATCCAATCTATGTAACAGTATCTTCACCATTTTAAAAGTGAATTGAGAAAACTTCTCTGTCATTGACTTGTCTGAGGACCCACAGTAAGGATGAAGTAAGAATACAGAGCCCAAACGTATGCCAGACTTATGCCCCAAATAGTTCCCTTTTTTCTGTACCTCTATAGTTTTGTTGTTACTGCTTTGAGTAAATTCTGACTCACAAATGACCTCATCCATTCAAAGTAAAATTGCTTTCTTTGGGAGTAGATTGCTAGGCCTGCTTTCTGATGGTATCTTTTAGTGGGTTTGAACTGCTAGCCTTTCAGTTAGCAGTCTTAACCATTTATGCCACACAGGAACCCCGTTCCTTTATAAATCATTGTTTTCAAGGTTGTCTTTGCCAAAGCCCTTTTTCTGGAATAGGTATTTATAGAGAATTCTAGCACATGAAAGTGATGAACAAGTTTTGAGGCATAATGGAGCCTGGGATTCTCGGGGAAAACTTTAAGGCATCACACAACCCATGATGGAAGCCCCAACCTTGGGACTAAATGATCTTGATGGACCTTCCAGTTTTATTTCAATATTATACCTCTTGATTTATTGATCTTCCTAATATGAAACGGAAAGCTCAAGTTAAAATTGCATCTCAGAATCGGATGACTTTCATTAAATATTTTTACCTCAAAACAGCAACAACAACAACAAAGATTTTCACCTCCTGTCCAAAAATAAACTGTGGGATCAGAACTCAAATACTGGTGATGCATTTGATGGTTTTTAAAAATGCTGTCCCACCTACTCGTCTTCCATGTAAAAAGTTATCTCATTGTACAAGACACACTCTGGAGACTTCCCCAGGGAATAATAGAAAAGGTACCTGAAAACTTTTAAATTTTATGAAGTGCACTCTTCCTTATAATTTACTTAATATAAAAATGTAATGATCTGCAGTTTACTGAGCAAATAACAATGCAAATATTGTAGCGTTAGCTTGGAGCTTGCCTGTGGTTGCCAATTTGACTTTATTATTTGATTATCCAGAAAAAGGTCAGCAGAAACAATGCACTCTGCCTTCAGTGGTTCAGAGGGGTAATCTCTTGGCCATTAGCAATTCTAAACACAGATTTAAATTCAAGGAGAAAATCATACTGCAGCAAGTTTCTGCAATTATTCCCTTGAGTAAGATGCTCTATTCTCTTAACCTGGATTATGATGGTTATTCTTTTCCAAAAAGTTTCTAATCTTTGGGATTGGAAAAATTGTGCTACTGTATTCATCCAAGAAACAAAAAGATACTGGGGGCCCAATATCACTACTTTCCTTCCTAGACAGGCTCTTCTGATTCCTTGCCTGAGCCCCTATTTGTCTGGGAGAGGATGTAGGACAAGATTTAAGGGTGGATAGCACAGTCTCTACTCTTAAAATATGAAGAATCAAAAGTATTTGAAAGGACTTGAAAACAGCCAATATTTAAGATGAAGAACATGATATATAGGAAGATACTATAGTCACTCCAGGCCACATGAAAGAGTTAGCACTTGAACTTTATAGTGATTTTTAACATGTAGGGTAATGGAAGTGTGTTTCCAGGTAAAGAGAACAGCATCAGCAAAGGCTTAGAAGTTACACATCGTACATCCCTTGGAGGGATGAATGTCTGAGTTTTTCATGTGATTTCCTTTTTAGCTGTTGAACCATTTGTTTTATATTTTTCTACTCCTGTATCTCCCTGTTCCTCTTAATTCCGTAAAGACAGTAAGACAGCTATCTTAATTTTCCATTGCAGAAATATGTTCACCATTTTCCTTGAGTAGCTAAAATTCAAATAATTTGGGAAATTGCAGTTTAACTAATGCACATCAAATGCCACACTGAAAATTAGCTTGTTCCTCTGTCTTCCCATCACCCACAAGAGCTTGATGGATCATTAATGACACGATTAAAGAGACAGCATTATTAGTGCTCAATAAATGTTAAATAATTGTTGAAATAGGACCCAGTTGAGATTGGTAGTTTGCATAGAAACTGAAGCTCACAGAGGAACTCTTTGCTGATAATCAGGTTTTGCAACTCTGAAAAGGCCCAGGCGATTGCCATTGAAATCCACGTGCAGTTTTGGGAGAAACTACTTAATAATTCAGTTTTCCAGCTAAATGGAAATTTTTGTTGGGGCAGTGTTAAACATCATAGATACTGTCCTGGGAAATTCCTTTTCCCGTCTGTCTGAGGAACTGCAGGCCACCTAAATGAGCAGATGAATGAAATCAAGACCCAACAACCAATGAGCATACAAGTGATTTACCCAGAGCACCTTTGTTTCCTGCCCCAAACTGCTTCAAGAGCCAGATTCCCATCTGTTAATTGAAAATCCTGTCTGCCAATATGAAGGCTAACTTTTCCAAGCTTGGATTGTGTGGTGCTAATGGCTTTGGGCAGAGCCTGCATTGCTTGCTGGCAAGGATAATTCTGTTTGAGTCTGAAAGATCCAAAAATGATATTTGAAAACATATTTTATTTATCAACTAGAATCTAATGAATATGAATTCAACTGTCTGTCTGTTTATCTCTGCCTGGGAATATCCATTCTATAATAAAATAGAGCCTCACAGTTTATAGAGTACTTTTTATACCAACTATCTCATTTGTTCCTTATGACAACCAAAGAACAGAGAGAATCAGTATTTTCAAAAGACAAATATTTATAGGTCCTTTACATGCTGTTTCATTTGGTCTCTAAAGGATTTCAAGGCACAATTTCTAAATCTCATTTAACAGATGAATATTGAAACTTCAAGAGGCAAAATACTTCCATATTATTCTACTGCTAATAGGAGGGAACTCTTGGAATGGAAATTTGCCATGCTTGAACTGAGTAGAAAAAACTAATAGGACAAATATTAATTACAGGTTCAAGTGTACGAGAGCCATATTTTCTGACCATCTGCCTTATACTAAGCATTTCTAGATGCTATTAAAAATGGTGAAGGATTGGTGAAGAATATTAAATATATGGTGGACCACCAAAAGAATTAATAAATCAATTTGAGGAGATGTATAGCCAACATGCTATCTAGAAGTAAAGTTGATAAGACTTAGTCTCACCTACTTTGGACATGTTATAAAGAGGGTTCAGTCCCTTTAAAAGGAAGAGGAAGATAGATGGTTAATGAGATGGAGTGACACAACAGGCTCAATTATAAGAGCAATTATGAGAATGATACAAGACCAGGCTCTCTTTGTTCTGTTGTACATAGCGTCTCCATGAGTCAGAACTAATGTAATGATACCACAAGGAGAACGACAATTGGATCCCTAAACCATCTGTTGGGCTCCAAATCGTTATCCCCAATGATAGATTGTTCATTGAGTGCATGCAACTTTGAATAAGACATGAATTATACATTTTAATGGTAAGGGACAATAAACAAGTATACGTGATTGTACTTATAATGTCTATAGAGACAAAGACTATCTTATATTAGGTGATCAGGGAAGGACTCAATAAGGAAGTGGCATTTGAATCAAGATCAGTAAAATAGACCCTAAGGGTAAAACAAACTTTTGTGGTTTACACACATACACACACGCATGTACACACACACACACACACACCATGCAAGGAGGAGAATAGTGAGGTGAAAAACGATTGAAAATGAAGTTGGAAAGATAGTTAGGAACCATATCTAACAGAACCATATCTATCCAAAGACCAAATGTTTTACCAAATGTAACAATAAAATTGTTTGAGCTGGTGTGTTTGACATTTCCATATCCCCAAACTAAAATTGACTATCTTAGACATGAAATTAAGTTCAACAGTAACATCTGCTGTAGCCCTGGTGACAAGTCATTGCATATTGGGCTGCTAACCACAAGGTAAGCAGTTTGAAACTACTAGCCACTCTGCAGGTGAAAGAGGGCGCTTTCTACTCCCGTAAGGAGTTTCAAACTAGGGTACTCACAG